TTTGATATCTCATCTAAAAACTATCACGGGGTTCACCGGTTCTGCTTTGTGGGATTATCTGAGGGGTACAGGCTCAACGAGATCCACAGCTTCTCTCTAGATAGTTTCTACAAAGTCCCTCAGCCTTGGTATCTAAGCATTTATCTTCGAATGACTCAGTCGCATCATTTCCTGTAGCTTCTTCATTTTTTCCTTTGAGGTTTTCATTCACATACTAGTCCTTCCTTGTGACTTCACAGCCTCAATTGATAAATAGCTAATGATAACCAGAGGGACTTCATTTCCACTAAGGTGCTAACCCCTTGCACTTGCTGGTAAAGACCCAGAAATAAACATTGTGTAACCACGTAATTTAATTAAGCACACCTCACTTCTGGTGCAGTGCTGATACTAAAAAGTGTCTAAATGAATTTCCAGAGACTCACTATATTCTAACTGCCTTCCCTCTTGACCTGATAAGATTATTCAATGTAGGTTTCTAACATTGTACTTCTTCTAGGCAAAAATGAATCTCTTGCTAGGGAAGATATTTTTTTCACAATTCTCATTATTCTTCAGCTTTTCAAATTCCTGAAATTTTTGTTTATCTGCTTGTGTGATGTTAAAAAACTAAGTCCCCATGATTTTGAGGATATTTATTGCTGAATGTTCAAAGACTGAGCAGATAGTCCCTGGTTAAATCACATGAAAGTATACAGATGATCTAATTCTCAAACCATTAGTGTTTATTGGCATTAATTATAAAATCTCCAAGTCCCAAGTAAGCTCATTTTAATTCTTCATTTTCATGTGAAATTACAAGAAATGAACATAAATGCAAAGTTCTTGTTCTTCAGTGTCTTTGGAAAATATCATACTTACTCCTTTTGGCCATGTAGTTCCTTCTGCTTGGAATAATTTCTCCCTCCAAATGTATAGGGATCCTTGCCATCCTTCAAAGCCCTGTTCAGATTTTAATTCCTATTTGAACTCTTCATGATTACTGTAATGCACCCTGATTTTTGTTTTTTGTTTTCCTTAGAGTTCTATTCCTAAAGTTAGTGATTTTTTTTTTTTTTTTTTTTTTTTTGCGTAGAAGAACTGGCATATAGGCCACAGGTATGGGGTTTGAGCGGATTCACCAGAGACAGAGTAGGGGGCAGAACAGGTGGATCTACTGAAATACACTGCTGAGGGGAGCAGCAGGCAAGACAGGAGAGGTCTGCTGTGCCATGTGGGTCAACTCCCTGGCTGGGGATGGAACTTAGGCCACGGTGGTGACAGCATGATAGTGCTGAGACTTAACCCCTAGGCCACCAATGAAGCCCTAAAGTTAGTGAATTTAAGGACGTTTGGCAAGTAATTATTCTCTGATTGTTTCCTTTAAGGCTGTCTGTTAGACTTATCTCCCTAGCTTAGCTGTAAATGTTTTGAACCCATTTTCTTGCATAAGTACAATGCAAGAAAATGATTTTGGAAAATCACATTCACTTTGTAAATTCACATTGTGAATCCTTAGACATAACTTTAAGTTGAGATGAAATTTGATCATGAATAGCTGCATAGGTGTCATTTAAAATATTGACGTTAAAGAAAACAAAACTGTTAGACAAGTCTTTTAATAAGTATATGTAGAAGAATAAAAAAAAATTTATGATTTATGCTTATATGATTCATTTGAAAAAAATGCATGGGTCTTCTTTAAATGTTGGAAATGTTATATCCTTCATTCTCCTTGAAGTCATATTTCTATTCCATATTGCTTCCAGAACTTTACCCTGAGTATTTTTTATGCTTGAAAGTCTTCTCTACATCAAATGCATATATAAATTGAAATTCTTTTTCTAATTTTTCTGTGACCAGAGGCTTTAAGTAGCAAAGTATTCCCTCTAGATTGACTTATTGTTGCAATTTCTTAGTACACAATTGATCAACACCATATAAATGTGTGATAAATGTTTACAAATGCATATGAAGCATAAGGAATACAGTTTTATTAGAAATACATGCTTTTTTTGTGATACATGGAACTGCTCATTTGCCCACATGTGAATATTACTTATCGCTAGAAATAATCAGCTTTTAGCATAAGTTCTGTTTCTGTTTTACATTTTCTAGATGTAAATGCTCAGAAGACTTGTTCACATAAAATTGTAGGTGGGAGTAGAAGGTGCTACTATTATAGCAATGTCAGTCAATTCTATGAATTCCTTCCAAGTAATATGCCAAAAATTATATAGTGATTTATTATAAAAATGGTTTTCATCTCCTGTCAACTGTTAACTTGATTAGGTCTTTCTTTAATGTTGTTGAAAGCAAAAGATTGGAAACACCCAACTTAGAAAAAGATTTGTTAAACAGTCATTAGTAGTAATTTGCTTTCTCAATTTCTGGGAATAATACCAAAAAACCTTTACTGAAATTTATCAGATTGCTTTTAAAAGTTATACCTGTTATACTCCAATTTAACCTAACATACTCAAAAAGTGTGGGAAAAATAAAAACATTAATTAAAGTACACTTGTCAAAACAATAATTTTTTGAGAAAATGATTTTATTGAATCCTATATTTTTAATTTATTTTCATCAACTCTTCAGAACTACACATTTGGTTCTTTCGACTTTTGGAAAATATTTACCACATATAACCTACTTGGCAAAACTGACCCTCATAGTCAAGAGAACCATCCAAATCAGATTCAAACTTGTGTGTGTGTAAAAGAACTGGGGTGTAGGCTAGAGGTACGCGGGGTGAGAGGGATTGTCAGAGACAGACTGGGGAGCAGAACAGGTGGATCTACTAAAATACACTGGTGAGGGGAGCAGCAGGAGAGGTCTGCTGCGCCATGTGAGTCAGCTGCCTGGCTGGGGATGGAACTCGGGCCATAGTGTTGACAGGGAAGGCTGAGACTTAACTCCTAGGCCACCAGAGAAGACTAGATTTAAACTTTCTTTAAAAAAAAAAAAAAGATGCTTTCCTTTATTCAAATAAACATGTAAACAGACATCACTCTGATTGTAGTCACAGTCCAGAATGCTTTGTCAAGCTAGAGAGCTGAGACAGAGTCTGGTCATGAGCTTGTTGCATTGATGAAATAAGATGCTCCTCAGTGCTTGCTTTGCTTCCTCACAGGGGACTCTTCCTCAGGAATTCTTTGACAAGTTAGGGGATCAAAAGCACATGACATTAGGGCCTCCCCGGTGGCACAGCGGTTGAGCGCTGGGTTGCGAAGCTGCCTGCAGCTTCTGCAGCACCGGTTCGATCCCCAGCTGCTCCCTGGCCACAGGAGGAGGGTCCCGCATGGTGCGCAGACCTTTCCTGCCACCCGCTGCTCTGCCTGCTCTGCTCCCTGCTCTGGCTCTGGTGAATTCTCTGACCCTCCCACTCTTCTGACTGTACCCAGTGCTTGTATAAATAAATGAATAAATAAATAAGATTTAAAAAAAAAAAAAAGCACATGACATTAAATGAAACTTGTCAATGGTCCTGCTCCTCCATGCTACATACTGCATGCCAAACATCCCTGTGTGAATGAAAATACCCCGTTCCTTCTGCCAGGCCTTTCCATGAGCAGAGATGGGGGTATGATAGGAGAAGTTTCAAAGCTGTACTTTGGGTTTTCCATGCCTTGATTAAAGGAGACTTCCCATTCCAATCTTCTGCTATGGTTTGCTTCCTTCGCTGTTCTTGTGTTTGCACCAGAAGGGATTCTTAAGCATGCATCCTATTAAGATGGGTAAAGAAATGTCTTTCTTCTTATAAAATAGGAGAAAATTATGAAAGGGAAGGGGCAAGAACTAGCCTGATGCTTCTACACAGTCACATTCTCCTGTGTGTAGCTAAGACATGGAACCTTGTCGTAAGCTTGTGCGATCAGCTTTTTGAAAGTAAATATGTAGAAGCTGTGGATCAAGACAATGATTCCTTAAAACTATCTAAACCCGACTAGCCCATGGAAAGTCTTTAAAATACCTGTCTTGTGTGCCTGTACCCATTTGAAAATGGTTTTCTTTATTCCTTATTACCCAATAATATACTAACATATAATTGGCACTAGTACTTCCTATTTCTAGTATTAATACAGGATGGAAAGTGCATTGAGACTATTAAAACACTAAATTCAGTACAATTATAAGCAGAAATAGCTTGTGTTTATGGATATATTTTTATGTTTAAATTTTTTAAATTTTATTTAAAGGTTTTTTTCTCTAACCAAATAATCTGCATTTCTGATTTTGCTTACAACTCATGAGATTCACACTGCACTAGTAAGATTATTTTAAATATAAATTAGAGTAACTATAACTGTAATTTTGCTTTGCTAAAATTTTAAGTTGCACATTTTCAATCTATTTTCTTTTTAAGTTGAGAAACCAGTTTTTTGTTTTTTGTTTTTAAGATTTATTTATTTATTTATTTATACAAGCACTGGGTACAGTCAGAAGCATGGGAGGGTGAGAGAATTCACCAGAGCCAGAGCGGAGAGCAGAGCAGGTAGAAGGACCGAAGCACACTGCTGAGGGGAGCAGCAGGCGGCAGGAGAGGTCTGCGCGCCATGTGGGACCCTCCTCCAGTGGCCCGGGAGCAGCTGTGGATCGAACCGGTGCTGCAGAGGCTGCGGGCAGCTTCGCAACCCAGCGCTCAACCGCTGCGCCACTGGAGAGGCCCTCAATCTATTTTCTATACTGTGTTTTACCTTATTTTTAAAAGATGTTTCAGTTATAAAGCTGTAAGATACAATGGTTCCTTTCATAATTTTCTCCCACTTTATAAGAAGAAAGACATTTCTTTACCCATCTTAATAGGATGCATGCTTAAGAATCCCTTCTGGTGAACTTGCCAATTAGTATAAGGGGATGTATTTAAATAATTAATATTCATAGGTAACTATTGGCACACAATGTGTATTCTGTAGAAAAAATGACTCTTCCAAAATGATTAACTTAAAAAAATGTGAACTAATGTAAAAACATCATTATTTTTTGCCAAAGTAAAAATCTTAATGTTATGTTGTTGACAGAAAATGCTTCCAAGGCAGGATTGAAACACGAGCAGTGCCAAGACACTCAGTTGCCTAGTGGAGCTGTGTTGTCCCAGGAAACACTACCGCTCAGGATTAATGCTTGGAAATCAACAGAGGTAAGTCCCTGGATAGTTTCCTGTTGCTCCCTAACAAATCACCACAAGCTCAGCCTTAAACTAGCACAGGTGTACTGCCTTACAGTTCTCAGGTTAAAGACCTCATGGAGCTAAAAAAAAAAACAAGGGGTCTCCACAGCTGGAGGCCCTCATGGGAGGTGGGAGGCACCTTCTTGCCTTTTCCAGCTTCTTGTGATTTAGGAGAAACTGTATGTATCTGCTCTTTTTTGGTATCTTTTGTCATACAAAGTTTTAAATAAGAATAAGGTTAAGCCATCAGTTTCCCTTATAGTTTGTGCCTTTAGAAAATCTTAAGAATCTTATCCTTGTATAATAAAGATCTGTGATGTTTTTATTTCAAATGTTCAACTCTGTCCTCCATGAAGCAGGTGGGGCAAGATGGTGGCAGAGTAAAGCAGGTGGGGCAAAGTGGCTGGACCCATCTCCTTCCTTACTCCCAGCTAGATTGCAGCCGCACAAAGCCAGAAGCACCTGAAAGAGAAGCAGACTATTGCAGCACATGTTAGTAGTAACATCTGGAGGAGGGGGACCCCAACAGGCAGCAGAAAGGCCCAACAAGTAGACAGGTGGGGTGAGCCCCGATGGCATAGCGAGCCGGTGAGCAGCAGAGCGTCACTGGCAAGGCCAAAACTCCGAGCCTCATGGTGGGGTCCCGAGGCAGACCTTGGCAGACACCAGTGCTTCCCATCTGTAATTTGTCTTTTCTCTGTTTTCTCACTGAGCAAAAGTTTTAAATTTTGCTAAAATGTGGTTTATCAGTTTTTGTAGTGGTGTCATATCTACCAACCCATTGGCTAACCCAAGTCATGTACGTTTTCCTCTAAAAGTTTTCATAGTTTTGTGTTTGACATTTAGGTCTAGAGTCTATTTTGAATTAATTTTTCTATTAAGGTGTGAAGTGTTACTCGGGGCTCTTTCAAAAATTTGTATTTCCTTTTTTTCCTTGCCTACAGTTTCCCAATAGCTTCACTAGCGTTTGTTGAAAAGACTGAACTTTGCTGCAATATGCTGCCCTGCGGCCCTTCCTCGTCCTCTTCTTTGTCCTCTTAGGAGTCTTTCAGTGGAAGCGATTCATCCCTAATTCTGAGGAAACATCTCTGGTTTTCTTCAAATTTTCCTTTTGTGTATTTTTATTTTTCGATTTCTTCAGTCTTTTTACCTGGATATTAGCAGTACCCTTTCTTTTTTTCCCTATAGTTTCTATTTCTTTGGGTTTTTTCCCTTCTAGATGTCCTCTGTCCGATGTTCCAATTTAATCATTTGTTCTCAGCTGTGCCCATTCCTCTAGCCCATCTGTTTTCTATATTTCAACTGTTCTGTTTTTGTATTTAATACTTCTTTTTATTCTTTTTATTGTGTTTGTTCTTGTTTGATATTGCTTATATGTTTCCTTATTTCTTTTATTATGTTTATTAAGCTTTGAAAATGTTTTGGTCCTTTTTTTTCTGTATCTGCACTTCTGATGAAATCTATAACCCAGTTTTTTATTTTTATTTTGAATGTTTCGTTCCTCAAATGATATCCCAGGAGTATGGCTACTGTGTCTGGGATTGCTGAAGCCAGAGGTTATTCTCAGTCAAGCCTTTCAACTTAAGTGTGGGAGAGAGGGAGAGCCCATCCCTCCTCCACCCTCCCCCCAAAATACCAGAGTTCATCATTGCTCACTCTAATGATCAACGCCCCAAGTTAGGTCTTACCCTTAGCACCCTTAGAAGAGGTAGATTTGGGGAGAGACACTCTTTAAATTGTAACACACTTGTCCTGGGGATTGGAAAAAGGGTGGAGAAGCTTCTTCCCAAGCCTCGTCTCCCCATGGATTGCTCTGGTCTCCTTCCCACTCAGGCCTTCTGCCCTGACCCAGCACTAGGTCCGGTGTGTGCTCTGGCAGGTTCCAGGCGACAGTCCCTTTATAGTATCTCCAGGGAGGGAGCCACCAGAACCTGAACCAGAACCAGAACTTGCTCTATCCTTCAGCGTCCCCTGACCTTCTCAGACATACACACACTGCTCATCCCAGGAGAACACAGAGCTTTAATTCTGGTATCTGTCGCTCTTCAAATAGTACTTACTCTCTACTCCCTTGAAAACTGTTTCTGCTTAATTTTTACTAGATCTATTAGGGGGTACTTAATCCCTCATTTTCTGTGTCTTTCAACTGCTTATAATATTTTTTGGCTCATTCTATTTTCATGCTGCATTTTAAGCAATCAATCAGAACCATCTTCCAGTTCATTTTTTCTCCTTTCATCTGTGCTCACTCTAAAATTTTTTCCTTTCCATTGAGTGTTTAATTTCAGGAGTTATAATTTTCATTTCCAGGACTCTCATTGCGTTGCTTATTTATGCCCATTTGTATTTATTTCATCTCTGCCTGTTTTTGTTTCTTGCTTTATTATTCCTTTAAATTAACGTTAAATTGATGTTATCATTTCCAATATCTTCTGGAGGCCTGTAAACATGCTCAGTTTTAAATATGTTTTAGATTTCTTAGTTTCACTCTGTCAGCAGTAAATTCAGTTTTCTTTCTGTTTTGGAATATTGGTTTATCAGCTCCTCTTGAGAGACCCACGGTTTTTGTTTTTGTTTTTAATCTTTCTCTCTCTCTGCTCCCTCATTCCTGCCAGATTTTCATGTGCCTCCTCCTGCCGCCCAGGACTACAAATCCACTTTTAGGGTTTCCTCTGGCAGCTGGGGGCGCCTTCCTTTTGCTTAGAGCAGAGATATTGGACCCCCGGGCCCTGCTTGCTGCTTAGGTTTTGGTTCATGTTCTCTCTCCTCCCTGGGCACAATGCTGTTAGGGGCATTAAGCCCGGGCTGTGATTGATGACAGGTTACTTTGGCTTCCTTCGTAAGGAGGACATCCCAGAGCCGGAGCCCCGCTTCAAGCAGGGAACCCTCACCAGCTCCTCCTCTGGGGTGGAGGTGGGGGTGACCTGCAGTCAGTACTTACCCGCCAGCGGTTGAGCTCCTGGTTTTCTCTGCCTTTTTGGGGCATCCAAACCCCAAATGTCTAGGCTTTAACCTCCTTACCCTATGTGCTTTCGTGCAGCCTCTCATCCAGGGAAGGGTTCTTGTTTTTGAACGTGACTGTGTCTTGTTCATTTTCACCTGTTTTCTCTCTCTCTGCTGTGTATTTAGAGGAAGGGAAATATTGCCAGTCTGACCTTATAGAACCACCTTCACTGGGAATCTGTGGCACTCCAGATGTGATCTTACCCAGTCATTTGTTTTTCGATTTGGTGCGTATTTCTCCTCCTAGAAGGAAATGCTCCTTGAGAGTAGAGACCTTTTGGGTCTTACCCGTTACCGACTCTTCAGTTGCCAATTTTTATCAATGAAGAAATGATGAGTAGCAGGCATTCACCATTAACTTCCTTCTCTTCATTTCCTGGTCAAGAAGCTTGTTTGGGTCCTGCTCATTGCTCTGTTGAGTGCCCTGCAGGGTTCCTAGGAAGGAGGTTGGAATTACCCCTTGACCTTCTGTTCCCAACCCCTTTTCCAACCCAAGTAGGTATTGGATTTACCTGATTTTCTAGCAGCTCAGAAAAGTACATAAAATTTCCCTGTTCCTTAATTACATAATAACTCACTGATTGAAAATATGTAGATCATTTTATAAGATATGACATTAAGTCAAAATGATTTTTAAATTTGAGATCAGTTTCTTCGCTGCTGGTGACTTGAAAGGGAAAAAAATAGACTTGAATAATCTTATATGACTTGGAGCCTGACAAAGACATAAAATGCCACCTAGGGTTTTTTTTGGTATCAGTCTTCAAATTCTCATTGCTATTTTTTTTTATTTTATACTTTAGAAGAACTGTGATTGATTTACATCAGTCCACATTTTATATCAGTGAGCCAAAAATGGTGCTCTTTTCTCAGAAGAAGTTTAGAGCTATATTTTTCTTTGTCAGAGCATTACTGTATCCCAACACTATTCCATCATGCCATTGACAAGCGTCTCCTCTTGTTACTGTCAGGAACATTTGATGCAATCCAAGGCAACTTCTTCAGCAATCTGCTTTTGTAGCAGAAGGCAAACCCCACAGAGTCGAAGAGTAAATCTAATTGTTGTTGCCAAATGTACCACATCTACATTAAAATTCTCATGTTCTTAACATGGAATGAGAAAGATGATATTGTGGCTTGCTTAGGCAGAATGAGGGGTGCTTTAAAATACCTTTTAAAATTTTTAAATAGAAACTTCTGTAATTGTTCTCTTTCTACAAATGAAAGAATTGTCTGAAAGCAGTAAATAAAATTCTTCATAGAATAGGGCTTTCAAAAGGAGAAGACTGCTCGCCTGTGATGAAAATTCAGAAAAGCCTTTAAATTTATGACACTTAGCAAGGATATGTTTTCTCTCTGCACCCTGTCCAGAATTTTTATTATTAAATTTGCTAATTAATAAGGCTATTTGTAGCTTTTTGTCACCTCAAAAGACCTCCTTCTTTTTCCTGTTTGAGGAGATTCAACAATGAAGTCATGATTTTTTTTCCATCACAGTTGTTGCCATAGCAACAGATAGGGGTGCTATGAATTGGCTCACACAAATTAAAGCTGACCAAAACCTTCAGTCTAGTTCAGAGTTGCTAAATTGCTAGTGATGGAAGATAAATGTTTATTTCCTACTGGCTCAGTTTGTCATTTTGCTAGATGAGAAGTAGATCATTTTTATCCTTGGGTTTATTATTGGCATATCATTTATTATATTTGCAAAAATTTGAGCTCATCAAAGTTGTTAGAGAAATGGAAATTATACTTACTCTAATTATGTTAATTCATCATCCCTCTTTTCGGCATCATTGCTTTATGCTTTAAAGTCCTTTTTTTATTTTCAAGATTGCACTTTCATCCTTTTTAAATTAGAAAATATTTATTGAAAAAGGTTTAACAATATGAAAGGGTAGAGAGGGAAAAGCAAAGCTTCCTTACTTCTCTATTGTCTTTCAGTTCCTTTTCTCAGAGGCAAAATT